AAAAGATTTCTTACAGGCCAGAGCGACTGGAGAGGGCCTGCAGGGGAATGTCTTTTTCTACAAGACCCGTACCTGTTTCTGTCTCCTGCCAGAATATGTGGAAGCTGAATTTCAGAACTGAGTCCCCAGTTTACTTTTGGGGACACTGCGGGTCTCTCTAGTCGCAAACCCCGCACAGCGCTGTAAAACGTAACTCCCTTACAGTTCACGAATGGCTTCGGGCTTAGCTATCCTTAGACTCCCGGGGGAAAAAAGAGAAACCCTAACCACTTCACTCACCATGGCAACCCCAAGTGTGGGGATACCCCTGGATACTGACAACAGGGCATTCCCACCAGGTCGGCTCAGTAGCAATCGCAGCAGGGACAGAAATGGGTTCCTTATCTGTGGCAATGCCTGGCAATCTGGAATGGAGTTGGATATAGGTGACTTAGAGACTAATAACTCCGGCTGAAAGCCAAAAACTACCCCTGCCACATCCTCCATTCTGCTAAGTCGCTTACATACAATGTTAATTGGTGACTATTGGGCCACAAGACCCCTGATCTGCTCTGAGGCGGTAACTGAGATAATAACCCGTGGGTACTTTCATTCCTTAATACGGAGACAAAATTCGTAGGCATATGACACTTCAGATTCAATTCAGGAGCTACCATTCTGTGCTGGCTACACTTAGGTGGCCTTGAATAAGTCCCTTTTTATGCCTCAGTTTCATCATCTATAAAATGGGGCTGGAGGAACAGAAAGAGAGACTACTACTTGACAGTTCAGTATGTGATTCTATACCTACTGAACCTGAAAGTAAAAAATGAAAGAGGCCTCTGTTTTGTGTGTGTGTGTGTTTGTTGTTGTTTGTTGTTGTAGTTGTTGTTTTTTCCCTCTGAATCTGGAAAGCATTCTGCTTAGGTCAACCAGCTAACTATCCAGAAAACACTGGGCCGCCTGCCTCAGATTGTCTTCTTCATTAGGTGCGGCTCATAATGTACCCTCGAACAAGAGAAAAATGGAGCTTTCCGATTGTATCAGTTTGACAACCATAGGCAATTCATAGCAAGGGAAGAAGACATATTTGGCGGAAGTCAGCGTTGCATTTGAGGTATTCTTAACTCGGCTAACAGGCAGGCTTTCAAGCCCTGTTATCTGCCCCCACATCTTGACCTAATTTAACAAGTTGCCATGGGAGCCCAGCGAAGGTTGATGCAATTTTCTTATCTTCGGAGAAAGAATGTAACTGTGCAAGAAAAATGTGAAAATTCAGTTTCTAACTGATTTCCACACATACAGTGCAGTCACTAAGACATCATCGGCAGAAATAAAATGGATTTCTTTGAAAGTGATATGGATGGAGACCTAGGCTCCTGGTGTAAAGGTAGGGAAACGGGTTCTGCTCCCCAGCTCAGAGAAGCTATACATAGACATCCTTTCATTTAGGCTGAGGAATTGTGATGTCAGGGTCCACGTGCTCCTACTGTGTGGCCACCCATACTTTAGAGCAATCAAAATTTAAGGGAGTTGGGGGAGGCGGGGAGGCAGAACTCAAGATAAAAATATATATATAGTAGGTGTGACTTTTCAAGCAATAAAAAGGGTTGCCAGCGCTTATACAATGATTTCCACCTTCTAAATTATATTTTTTCCAAACTTCAGCTCATCTTAGCATGTCTGCATAAAGCGAGAGACCCATCTGTGTTCCAGTCACCACCTGCTCTTTGGGCGGTGTTGGGGCTCACGTGGTATGCTCCCCTCCCTTCCCCATTCTCTAGGATGCACCTGAAATGAGAAGGGGCCACAGTGAGGGCTCCAGAGTAAACACCCACCACCTAGAATCTGTCTGCAATGTGGGCAGGAGACGCTCAGCAGACACTGAGCAGAGCAAAAAGCCATGTGGGCTTCCCGCCCCATCTGCCTAACAAATCCTGGCCTTCATAGAAACCACAGCACTAAGAAAATCCAATTCAAGTCTGAAGACGATTACGTTAATATTGAATTGGACAAGATAGTGAACCCTCAAAAGCTCCGAGCACTTATCTGCACTCAACATGTGCTTGGAAACATTGGCTGAAATAGCTGATTTGCTACCATTAAGCTCTTCCCCTGTCTATGTCTAGCACAATGTCTAGCACTTATTTGTTTAAATTAATCGATTTGGTTCAATTACATTTTCACAGATCTTCTACCGCCAAGATAAGGGTGAACACTTCTCCTTCGCTAAAAGTAGAAAAGGGTACAAGGTACATTTGCCTAAAATCACACAGTGTGTTAGAGTTGGGAGGGAGCATGAGGGACTTCCGTTTTTCTGGGCTATTGTTCTCACCGTGATCTGAAATAGTATGAAAAATTAAACTTACAATTTTAAAGAAGAAACAAGTGAATGGTGAGATCCTCAAGAACATCTTTTTTAATTCAAATGACTATTTTAGTCTTTGAGACCAATGATCAATAGTCACTCTCCCTTTTCTTCCACTTACTGAATGTTTTATTCTGAGAGAGAGAAAGGGGGGGAGGGGTGGCAAAGGAGGGAGGGAGAGAGAGGAAGAAGATGGAAGGAAGAAAAGGAGGGAGGGAGGGAGGCAGGGAAGAAAAAAGGGGCATCTATTAAAAAAAATATCCAAATAAGGGATCAAACATAACTCAGACCTCCAGGACATTATTTATGCTCGTGATAAAAGAGCTCTTGATGCTTTATCTGTTTGTCCCCGAGTCTGGATTGCCAGAGAAGTCTCACAGGCAGCCTTTGGTGTTGGCTGTCTTGACTGTTCATGTCCCTCATTTGTACTTCACACTCATTCCTAGTCCTTGGAATTTCCAAGCCATCTCTGTCCTTCTCTCCTCAAAATTGGGACACTGGGAAAGTTCCCTGCTCTCAGATCATTCTTGTCAAGGTTCTAAAACCACCTTAGACAAAACCCTTTCAGTCACCCTTGCAGGCTATTGGCTCTGCAGGCATCTCCCATGTGAAAATCCAATAATATTACATGGCATTATGTGCTGAGAAATTCCTACTTGAGGTGGAAATCGGGCTTTTACCATGTCTGTAAGCATCTAGACCTTTGCTGTGTGGCCCAAGGACCCTTACCAGAATCTCATGAAGATTGACTTAAATCCCATGAAGATTGACCTAAATCCCAGGGTTTTCTTTGGCCAGAATTCACACTTGAGGACTTGAAGTCAGTTTATTGAATCTCATTACCCACCAAACTGCCCTAACTATGGAAATTCACAGAATCACATCTGTAGCTAAGAGAGAAGGACAGAGACTGTCCTGGAAAAGAATTACGGTTGTGTATGTGGATGGTGGTTATAGCAGAGAATATGCCAGAGTGAACAAAGACACCTCTTTAATAAGGAGAAACTAAGTTGAGGCTGAGTACCGGAAGTTGGGGTGGAAGTTGTAGGGAAGACTTGGCCTTTATGCTCGGGTACATGGCAGGGTGTGGTTTCTCTACATCCCAAGAACAGAAGCCGGTGTGCCCAGATGGAGATGCCTACCACCTCCAGAGCCCACAGAGCCATCGCTCAGCCACGGAGGCCTTTCCTTCCTCGTCTGAACGAAGCAGCTCTTCTCCCTCCATCAGTGAATCCAACTGGAGTCTAGTTCTTCAAATACCTAAACTAGCCTTGTAAACTACAGAAGCCAGAACGTTTGTGCATCTTGAAAGAGACTGAATTTACTTTTTCCCACCCCCACAGTCATGAACAGGAATGGGCAAACTCTCCAGGAGTCTGCTCTCTGGAGTTGGAAAAGGGGGTCCCTTCAAAAGTAACACGTTCCCACACATGAGTGACCTTCCAGCAAAGACCATAGGGGACAGGGTAGAAAGAGGGACCAAGGAGGGGAACATTAAGTTCCTCTCTGGCTCCTGGCTCCATAGAGACCTTGTCACTACCTGAAAACATAGACCCAACTCCTGGGCACCTACGCTTGTCCTGAACAGCACTCCGGGGCCCACTCCTGGTTTCTGAAAAAGGGGTGATTTCTCTATGCGGCTGAGTTCCTCTCAGAGGTCAGCTGTTTTTCTAGGCTTCCTGACACACATGAAGATGTAGTTCACTCTTCAGCTATCTCCACAGAAACACAGGTGTTGCTGCTCAGCTTCATCCACACCAAGGGTCCCCCACGTGGCAACCTGGCCAGGATGGAGTAATGGACAAGAGAATCGAGGCTTAGGCCCCAGGTGAGTAACCCACTAGCATTGGCTGCACTCACAACACGATTTCTAGTTTTTAAAAGCACCACCCTGGAACAGAAGGGCCTGAGATGGCTCCTTGGATAGTTCCCATACACACACACCGCAAAGGTTTCCAGGGTCGGGCAGGCGCTCACTTGGATAAGACATTGTTTGGCTCTAGCACCAGATTCTCAACCAAAGCCCAAGCTCTGAACATGCATCTCCCGCCCTCTACAGTCTTTCTTCATTCGCCATCACTTCCACTCCTGGGAGAGGAGCCGTCATAAAGCCAGGAGAGGAGAGAGGGTTCCTGGCCAAGACCTGGCAGAGTTCAGGTGGCCAAGGACACTCTTGCCACCGGGACAGCCCACCTAATGCATGCTCCCCCACAGCAGAGCCCTGGTGCGGGCCATGCAGGGATGCCTCCTAGAGATGCTGCTGCTGGTTCTGTATTTTGAAAGTCCTCCTAAGAGCCAGCTAGAGAGAGGCCCTTGATGCTCGGCCACGAGGCAGAGTTTCCAGAGACGCCAACTTCACATAGTTCCCTTCCCCCAGATATGGAAAAAGACCCAAAATATACATTTTTTTCCTATGACTCTTGGAAATGATCCCTTCGAATAGAAGGATCCTCTTTGCTCCTAACAATCAATGGCTATTCATCAACAGAGGTGCCTGAGAGGCTGACCAGACCTCTTAGAGTCTTTTCCCCACTCCCCGCACAGAGAAAAGGCAGGCTTCGGTGTTTGGGGCTATGGGCCCATGGCCCTCCACTGAGCCCACCCACAGCAGCATGCCCACCGAGGAGGCTCCGTGGTAGGGGCGGGCGCCTACCTGTATAGCCAGCCAGGGCAGCAGCAGGAATGACAGGCTTGTCCTTGTTGAGGTCAGCGCGGTCACGCACATAGTCCTTGAAGGTGCCCTTGGGATTGTGGTTGGGCAGGGCGGCCGGATAGTCCTCGGAGTCGAAGCTGTCATAGGAGGGAACGCGCTGCAGGCTGTTGAAAGATGACTGGCTGCTCCAGGACTGGGTGAGGCGGTCACAACTATCGTAGCTCTCTATGCTCTCAAAAGAGTCCTGGCCCCCGAGTTTACCTGGAGGTGGAGGAGGAGGAGGTGGGAAGAAGGCAGGGGAGGAGGAATTGGGAAGAGACAACCGTAAAAACCCTCGGAGTGAGGACAGATCGCTCATCAGACCCGCAGGAGGCACGGAAGAAGGGAGAGGTCATGGGGACGAGAGCTGTGGGTTGGCTCTGGGAGAGAAGGCGCTGGGCTGGCTGCAGTGTGAGAGCTGTCTTGTTCTCCAGGTCCCAGGATGGAGATTCCTAGCCACGGGCTACTCCTGCCTGTCTGAGGGAGACAGCAGTGCTTAGGACCTCAAGAACCCTAGAGCCAGAGATCTAAAACCTGAGACCCACACATGTTCTGGTGGGTTCTGGCCGATGCCTTAGGCTGAATGAGTAAGTGAAGAAACCGAAGCAGCGGAACTCAACTCCCTAGTCCAACTCAGGCCAATGAGATAATTTCCAAAGGCCCGATTTGGCAAAATATTTTGGTCTTAAGAAAAAAATTCCATTCGGCTAAGAGCAGATTGACCTTCTGTGACCTTGGAGCTGAAGAGCTATTTTTTAAGCATTTTCCCCCCAAATACTATTTTAAAATGAAATACAAGCATGGCCTCTATGTCTTTTCAAATAGAGAAAGAAGTAACGGGATGCTTTTTTCCAGGGGATTAAAAAGAAAAACATGCAATCACGCTTCTAAACAGAAACCCATGCTGCCGATTCTCTCCAAGTACAACTTTGTACTTGAAAGTTGTCCTTCGTTGGGGAAGCAATTGTGGGCAATAAAAAAACAAAGGAGTTGATGAAAGAGTTATTAACGTCCACAGCAATGTCAGAAATCCTTTACTCTCCCAGTTGCTTAAAGCATTCTTTGCTGACCGCAAGATCATGCAAGTTCATTAATTTCCCAAACCAGGTTGTAAACAGCTGCTATCATTGCATAATCACTCCGAGAGAAATTTCCATTGGCAAAAATGCCATTGAACAGGGAGGCAAGCGAACAAAAATTGGAGGAAAAAATGCATCTAAGAGCTTGAAAAGGCTCGCAGGAGTATTTTCTAGGTTCTTCCAGATACCTTGCAGGCAACCTAAATTCAATCCCAGGTCACTAAATGGTCACCTCGACTCAGCACAAGTCACCAGGCCAAGGATGTGACCAATCTGTGTGTAGAAATACCTACAAGTCAACTCTCAACTGCTCGGAGCTGGCTGATCTGCTTACAAGTTTAAATTCCAGGATAAGTTTGGCCAGTACAAACCCATACCAGTGTGTTTTTGGTACATTCTCCCTTTCCTTAATAGTTGAGATTGGCTTAAAAAAAAGTGAAATTCAAATATTTAATGTTGGTGTCCAAACCAAAATTAATAAGGAAAAACTAAGTTGGGGATTTTAATTTTTTTTTTAAATCCCAGAATAAGGGTATTCAGTGAAATGTGTCATTTTTAAATAATCCGCTGTTGTAGATTTCCTGAGCCTCTCATCCTCTCCGATACTGCTTCTAACACAAGGGGAGTCATTTAGCTACTTCTTCCTGACCCTTCTTCCAACCATCCATTCAAAGAAGGGCAGTTTCCAGAAGGCAAACAGAAGAGCTTCATAGGGTTACGGGCCCTGCCTACCCAGTCCACTGTCACTTCCACAAGTGAAGGGCGTGCCCCTTCCAGAAATCCACATTAAAAGACTCCAGAAAACAGCCCACAGCCAGAGTGCAATACCCTCTTTCTAACAGAACTGGACATTTGATGGCCTCTCCTAAAAAGCTATCCGTCTGAATGGTCTATCCACGCCTCTGCAAGATAAACACACCAAAAGCCAACAAAAGATAATGTTTTCATAGAGAACACCCCCCTCCCCCCAAGTCACCGACAGGTAGGGCATATGTACACGTAGGTCTCCCTGGAATGATGCTTTCTCTATCAGCCATGTGTTTTTGGGGAAGGCACGGAGGCCAGGATTTCCACAAGCAGACAGCTGCGTTTCCCAGAAGTCCCAGCGAGCAGGACACTAACCTGGACGAAGCCACCCTCTGGCATCCTCCCAAACATGAGCTGGAGGCAACTCCATGGGGAGCTGCGGTTTGCAGCAGTGAGCTGCTTTCATTTCAGCTCCGTTTCACAATCCTGGAGCGAGGAACCTTTGTTTACGGGCATTTTCTCTCCAAAAATGGGCTGAATCCAACTCGATGAGACACTCGCTTGTGCTACTGGGATGAGACAAGGAAGCACATGCCCTCAAGGATGTCCACTGGCTAACTTTCCTGGGTCTCAGCGAGGTCCTTCCAAAGCGACCTGACTCCACCAAGCAGACCTCAGAGCGCTCGCAGCAGATGGGGTGGCCCCCCCAGCAGCCCCTGAACAGACTGGCACAACCACGGCTCTCAGAGTCTAAGGAGGTGGTCCACAGAAGCACTTGGTATGCAATAAGGCAGCATGTGAATAGTTGCATTCATAACAACAGCTCAGAGTGATGCTTCCAGCCTAGACCAATCACACCGCTGTCAGATTCAGTCAGCCCTCAGAACACGTCCTACTTTGCAGCACTGCTAACATGCAGAGAGCAGCCACGGGCAGGACAGTCTGGCCCCCGAGTCTGTGTGGTCTGAAAGCTTGGTGTGAGGGAAGGAGGATGAGGCCAGAGAGAAATACTTCACGCGCTTTCTACGGGTCACTCTCTGGTCCCCTGCTATTAGTTTGGGGTTGGAGGGGTGGCGGGGACAGAAACCAAGAACCAAGAGAAGGAGAAGCAGAGACAATTACACAAATGCGAAGCCAGATGCAACTGAGAAGCATGTGACAGCAGCTCTGCCCAGAGTTACAACATGGCTGAGCCCCAAAACCCACAGGCTCAGCCTCAACACACAGACGTACAGAAAGCCCCATAGGAGAGGGAGCTGTGTGAATGCTCTGACCTGCCCCCGCCCCGAGTGGGGGTAGAGGGGGAGGGAAGAATCCACAGGCACATTTGTATATGTATTTAAATAGACATGCACCCAAAAATAAAGCGTCAGAAAGGGGAAGGCAAACTTGATCCCACCCATCCCCTTCTGTTTGAAACCCAGGCAGCCCGGTGCCCGAAGCAGAGAGATTACAGGTTCTGATCTCACTGGGGACTTTCCCTGAGCAGGCCCACCCGCTGGCTGCCCGGAGGCCTGCCAGGAGGAAGTGTACACCCAAACCCTAGAGGAAGATAGCAAGGTATGTGGCCCAGGATGCCAAGGGGGGTTCTTCAAAGCAAAGATGCTTTTGCCCCTCTGAGTGCCTCAGAGTCTCGTGAGCAGAAGCCACCAGGAGGCCAGCCAGCCAAGGCCTCTGAGCCCTCACGTGGGCTTTCTGCTGTTCCTCCTCCTGCTTGCAATTCCCTCTCGTTATCTATGGGAACAGGTGCCCTTTAAGACTGTTCAGAACTCAGCTAAGTTCTTCCTGGAGGAACAAATCCCTCCTTCCGGTGGACTGCACTTGTCTTGGCAACAAAACCATCTGCACACTTTGCGAGGGTGGCTGCCCTGCCGGGGGTTCATGTCCTGATCTTAAAATCTGAGTTTGTTTCACTTTTGTTACTTTGAAAAGTCAACCAGCTCAGCCCTAGCTGGTTTGGCTCAGTGGTTAGAGAGTCGGCCTGTGGACTGAAGGGTCCCAGGTTCGATTCCGGTCAAGGGCATGTACCTTGGTTGCAGGCACATACCCAGTAAGGAGTGTGCAGGGGGCAGCTGATCAATGTTTCTCTCTTATTGATGTTTCTAACTATCCCTCTCCCTTCCTCTCTGTAAAAAAAAAAAAAAAAAAAAAATTAATAAAATATATATATTTTTAAAAAGTCAACCAGCTCAATTCTGGAACATTTACTTCACTGTCCGTGAATACTGTATCAATGTCATAAGTCATGTCAACAAGGACACCTTCTTAGGGAAGCCTCTAGCCACTTCTTTCCTGGATCCTCCGGCTAAATACACGCTGTCACCACACTGCTGATGACCGGTTCCAAAACAACTACTGGTTAACCATCCTGTATCTTCCCAAACTCACAGACGCCTCAGGAGCCCAGGCTGAGCAGCAGATGTCATTCAGATTCCAGGCAGTCTGACCCAGAATGCTCTGGGGCATCAGGGCAATGCGCAACTAAGCTATCAGGAGGGTCACCTGCACCATTTTTGTTGGATTGTGTCCTCCGTGAGCAAAAATCCTCTTTAAAAAAATAATTATCAAGAATAACTTCAACAGCAATCACATCCAACTAGTTATTCCTTGGTAAAATGTCTTACGCAAATACAGAATGTGATTGGTCATCCTGCCGGATTTCAATCTAGAGTCAACTCACGGTCATTGTCCCATGCTGATGGGTGTGGCTAAAGTCCCATGGTGGAAAGTTCTTAAGATCCACACAGTCTCAGATGGAAAGGCTGAATGAACCTCAGGAATACCCAGGGCCCATAGCAAGGGGGAAACAGCAGATCTGAAAAACTCCCAGCGTTAGGGAACTCTTGGAAAACCAAAAGCTTCTGGAGAAGAAATCTAACCTACCACGACTGGTCCTCCCCATGCACATGTTGTCTGGTGTGACGACCTCTTGCTTGATGGCAAAGTAGTCCGTCTGCAAGGTGTCTGTCTGCAGAGGGTCCCGCAGGATGACCGAGGGGTAGTCGTTCTCATACTTGAGGGAAAGGAGCTCCTCAGAGCTGATGGGATGGAGCGTCTGGTAGGACTCTGTGATGAAGCTGGGCTCTGAGAACTCCGAGGGAGGGACACACTGAGCATGCTCGATACCATAGCCTGGAAACAGACCGAGGGTGGCATTAAAGAGGGGAAGAGCTCTGAACCTAAAGCAAGCAGTTCTTCACCATGGACACCCGCCCCACAATGCGTAACAGGCCGACTACCGTGGAGAGTAAGAGGAAAATATTTTCAATGAGAAGGGGGCCTCGGGGCTAGTTAACCTTGCTCCACTTCTTAATTGCTAGGGCCCTGGGCGAGACACCTCCCCTTCCTGGCTTCATCTCTTCATCTCCAAAACAGGGATGATGGCCATCTTGCTTGGAGCGTGGTGATAAAAATCAAACAAGAATATATATGCAAAATGCCTACTGACATCTCTGGCTCAGGGTAAGCTCTTACGCCATAGAACTTATGTTGTTCTTATAAGAAAAATCATCATAAAGAGAAAACAAAACAAAAAGGAAGCTGCTGAAGAGCCCCTTTGGAAGCAAATCCAGAAGAGCCCTGCACCAACTCTCCCCCTGACCCCCTCTGCGGTATGATTAGGTGTCCTGTGCAAGAAGGGACACAGTTTTATTTTCTGTGGGAGATGCAAAGCCAGATCTGGAACGGATCTGAAGCTGCATGGCCCTCTCTGTAGGGAGGATTTCAGAAAAAACGCTGTCAGATCCTTGCGTCAAAGGGAGAGAACAAGGGCCATGACCAGATCCCTAACCCCATCTCCCTCCGATGGCCCCCCAGTGCACAGGCTCCTATAGGAACGGCCGCAGCCCTCTGTGCCACTTTCAGGCTGATGGTATCAGAGGGAGGTCCTTGCAGGTCAGAACAACATGCAAACAGACCTTGTGCTTTGAGGGGAGTGGGGGTGGGGGTGGGGTGGAGGGGATAAAATGAATACCAAATAGTCTGTGTTTAAGAAAATATTGCTTGCCATAGAATTACCATGAGGGAGCTAGAGCTCAGTTGGGACATGGCTCCTTCCCCAAGGAACAAGAGGAGGGGAGAAGAGTGGCGGGTGAACTTACTAATGAAGTAGTCCGAGGTATAGCGGGATTCTGGGTAAGTGGGGTTGACTCCGTTCACTGGATAGGGCTTCACATCCTCTGTAACACACGGGAGGGGACGAGACAGAGAGGTCAACACGCGAGTGCTGCTTGGCCCGAAAGGGCCTCAGACGCAAGGAGCACAATGATCTCAGGCCCTCATCGAAGAAACCTGCGTGTTTCTTAGCCCAACGGGGCTGTGAGTCCGCCCTGACTGGGGCTTTGTCTAAGGATGAGACACAAAGGTATGGCTAAGGTGACTCTGTCAGTGACTATAAGATGGGACTTCTTATCTTGGACAGAGCACCAGTGGGTGATCTCTACCAGCTGGGGAAGCATTCCGCCCTCATTCTGATGCCTGCGTGGGACCACATTTGCATCAAAGGCTACAGGGCAGCTTGGGCAGGTACCAAAATCAGCCCCCACCACTCAAACTGATCAGCTCCAAAGCTTTTCAGAAATAAATTACAATCTTTAGCCTGGGCGGCATGGCTCAGTGGTTGAGCATCAACCTATGGACTAGGAGATCATGGCTAGATTCTGGTCAGGGCACATGCCTAGGTTGAGGGCTTGATCCCCGCCATTGCGATGTGGAGGAGGCAGCCAATCAACGATCCTCTCTCATCATTGATGTTTCTATGTCATTCTCATTCTCCCTTCCTTTCTGAAGTAAGTGTGTGTGTATATATATATATATATATATATATATATATATATATATATATCTTCAGGAAGGTAGATCTTATAGCCTCCATTTCTTCTAACAGAGGTCTTTTTAAAAAAAATATATATATATATATTATTGATTTTTTTTTTTTTTTTACAGAGAGAGAGAGAGAGAGAGAGATAGAGAGAGGGATAGAGAGTTAAAAACATCAATGAAAGAGAAACATCGATCAGCTGACTCCTGCACACCCCCCCACTAGGGATGTTCCCCCCAACCAAGGTACATGCCCTTGACCGGAATCGAACCTGGGACCTTTCAGTCCATAGGCCAACACTCTATCCACTGAGCCAAACCGGTTTTGGCGGGAGGTTTGCTTTTTGTTGTGTACTTTTTCCATTGTCCTCACATTTCAAGTTCAGGCCCAGCTAAGGAGCAGGACAGCAGGAAGGTCACTGCTGGGTGAAACAGTATGTTAGCAGAAGAGCCACCTAACCAAACTGTTGCTGGGAGCCAACTTCCCCAGGGAGGAGACAGGAACGCAGATGGAGGTAACTGAGCCCAGAAAGGCCCTCTGCTGAACTAAGGGGAGCTTGCAGGCCCCCCAGCCGCCCTGGACTCAACCCTCCTGGCCTCTGCCCATGGTGTGGACTGGATCTGGTTCTATGTCCTGTCAGAGTCAGACACAGACAGAGGTGCTTTGGATTTTTCCCTCGGCTATCTGATAGCTTTGTTGGGAGCAGAGGCTGCTGGGAAAACAAGTTGATGCCTGCACAGAAAAACAGTTCCCAGTTGAGATAAAGTGATTACGCTTTGCTTAAGCAAGCTTATCAGATTGAAACATCCCCCGTACCTCTGGCCTTCCACCCCACCCCAAGCAGCTATGTTCTTTCTGTGCTGTGGTGCTCTGTGCTGTGTTTCATTACAGAGCCTCCGTAGAAACCTCTCGCTCAGCTCTTCAAGGGCCTGAAGACAGAGGGTTCTCACTGCCTCTCATAGAAAAAGGGCGGGAGGACCGAGCTTTGCCATCAAACATACTTCCCTTGTTATTATTTTGCAAGAAGCTATCTCAAGCCTCTCTTGGGGACCAGAAGCTCCCCCGTGAGCCTATATTATTATACAAAGGACACAGGGCAGGAAATTAAATTGAGAAGGCTTGGTTTAAGGAAGTGAGTGATGAAGAAACCACCTAAGTTGTCCTCACTTCACAGATGGGGACACTCACAGTGCCTGCCCTCCCTAGGCTCAGGGTTGCGGTGGGAATCCAAAGGGAAAACGTAGTTTGAAGCATTTTTTTTTTTGTGTGTGTGTGTGTGTGTGTGTGTGTGTGTGTGTTTGTGTTTTCTAGAAGAGAAGATTTAATAATTGATTAAAATGGGCAAAAATATTTAAATCAGAAATGCTTTAGAATGAGAATCACAAAGTCAATACTTCTCAGTGAATAGGGAAGGTAACAGACTCCCTCAATGGAAAAAGGAAGAGAAAGTCAGATTTTTTTTTTTTTTAAAGACCACCATTAAAGAAAATGCTTCAGTCAACATTGATTTTTGTTTTAGGGGAGGATATTGCAACTACCACTTAAAGATGGTGGCACATTCTTTAGTAAGTCCTTAAGGCAACATACTAAACACACACACACACTACAAGGAGGTGCTATAGAGGTATTGATTTTAACGGTGATCAGAGGTAGGTTGACACTCCAGAACCCCTGGCCACGCCATGGTGAGAAGTAGAGGAAACGGATGTATTAACAGAAGATATTTGGGTGACACGATCTGATAGGACCCACTAGTGAGGACCCAATGGTCATCACATCAGACCTGTGATGAGCCTGGCCTGTCTCTCCCTATAAACACAGGCAGCTCACCTCAACAGGTGTGAGTGGGGGTGTGTGCAGCCACAGGAGGAACCTGTCTGTGCTTTGGGAAGGCTGTGCGGCTAATCCCCCCCTCCCCCCCTCCCCCCGCCCCCCCCAAGCCCCATCCCCGGCCACCTCGCTTTGCCTGTGTGTATTTATTTATTTTTTCAGCAGAACCTGAAGAGAAGGGAAAAAGGGATAACACTCCTGTGCCCAGAGGACTCTAATTTGGGCCCCTGCGGAGCACAGCAGAGTGGAAAATATCCTTAAACAAAGGAAGGTATTATACGGAGTAAAAGTGCTAGCCCTGAGCTCTGCTCCCTGCCCCCGGCGTCCGCGCCAAGGGCTGGAGCTGGTGACCACAGGGAAAGGGTGGGCCTGGGTCACAGAGGGCGACCAGCTTCTAGGCTTACAGTCAGCTGGAGGGCACCGCTGACTGCTGGTAACTGCCATTTATTTTAAGAAGAAATTCAGAAAAATAAGCGCAAAAACACCCAAGTTTGCCGCCTGCTGCTGTTTCTATACTCAGCCAGGACTGTGGTACATGAGTCACTTGGTCCAAAAAGGTTGGAAGAGACTAGCAGGGGAGGCCATGTCATTACAAGGTTGCAACACAGTGTCCTGGCGTGACCCCGGTTCCTGCTCCAGATGCAAAGGTAGGCTGGCTCCTGCCCTTCCAACCAGGCCAGCTGGCGGGAGCCTGTGGCATGAACAAGCTGGGAGACGCTAAGCTTCCTGGTGGGCAAGGCCGGGCACCAGGTGGCCCGGATAAAGAAAGTGTGCACGGAGATTACTAGGAACAAAATATCCCTCGGAGCTGGCTGTGAGCTCTGCTTCTTGCAACAGTCCTGAGTCTGAGATAAGGATTGGGCTCACCATTTTGTAAGAAGTGTCATGAGTGCAATCTCACCAGAGCTTAAAATCGGAACCTCCAAGACAGAGAAGAAAAAGAGACTCAGATGGACTGAGCACCTGTCCTGGCCTGCCTTAGGCCCTCTAGACTAGGGGTGTCGAACTCAATCAGAGAAGGGGCCAAAATCTAAAATCCAGCCTAAATCGCGGGCCGAATGGTTTACTGAACAGTCATAAACTGTCATTGTGATGGAAACGCAGCGGAGTGCAGTGATGACAGCGCGGTGCGGGCCACATTGCAAGGCCTGGCGGGACGGATTTGGCCCGCGGGCCTTGTGTTTGACACATGTGCTCTAGACTGTGATGGGCACCCACAGGGGATGGCATGGATGTCCCGCTACCTGGCACATGGATAGATTCGCCTGCCTACTATCCACACACATGTACCTTTCTGCAGGATTTCCAGATGCTCCCACAAAATGTCCCCAACGAAGTCCGGGGCCAGCTCCAGAAAGCAGTCTTTGCCCAGTGCACAGAGCGCGGCTCCATTCATGCAGAACTTCTGGAAGTCCACGCCCTTCAGGCTGAACTCGTTCACAGCCCACATCACCCAGTCCCGCACGTGGGTCTCTGTCCACTGCCGGGGGTCTGCGAGGAGAGAGCACAGGGGGACCCAGCACGTCAGGCCCCGAGATCCAGCTTGGGCCTCGGAAAGGACGCCGAGGAACTGAGCTTGGCTGAGGATGTCCTCTAATAGAAAGATCTGGGAAGCACAAGCCTGCAAATGCATGTCATGGAGCACCTTCCTTCTCCCCGCCTCCCACCTCTCCACCTCCTCAGCTCCAGCTCGCCGGCTAGGAGATCACAATCACCCGCCAAAGAGGAACACGCAAGTGTTTTCTACCCTCCATGCAGACAAGTTTTCCAAACTTGCTCCCGTCTCGAGGCCTGATTCTCAGTAGGCTTTTTGCAAAGCCCGGGACGAGGATCAGATGAGTGTTTTAAGAGCAATAATAACGAAATCACGTTTGCTCTGCTCCTTCCTCCTACAGGGTACTTGGGACTGTTATTCTTAATTACTTTTATCTTAGCTAATTATGGTTGGTACTAACCATAGCAATTCGTTACAGTCAGTCACTGGAATGGTACTTACAGGGTGCCTGTATTAACCTACACCCCCTGCAAAGTGCATCCTTATGACAATGCTAGCACTGCCCAGCTCCACAGCACACACTCTGCATACCCTTCCCACGTGGCCCGAGCTTTCACGTGACCACACTCTCACGTGGCCGCATCAACCAGGACACCTGAGGAACTCCGATGGTGGCAGGCTGCAGGGCCCACATACCTGCTCTCAAGTCACCCCTTCCATGGAGCTGGTGGGGACTCACTTTCTCCCGCCCGTGACCCTGAGAGGATGCTGGGCGTTGCTGTGGGCAGAGGCTGCGGTGGAGCAGCATCCCTGGGAGAGGAGCAGACCCATTCCCAGGCTCTGCCCAGGGCCTGGTTCCCACTGGGCTGGAGGCCTGTCCGGACGGCTCTCAAGGCAGCCTTGCTCTTACTCAATAGCCCAGTGTTCTTCCTGCTCGCAGCTATTCAGGAAATGTTGCTGCGTGAAGGCTTAAGTGTTCCCCGGTCAGTTCTCCTTTCTGACAACCCAAGTCCCCTCGCATTCCTGAATAAACGCTTTCAGAGGAGAACACCCAAGGATAAACACGCTGCACCGCAGCACACAGACAAGAACAGAGCAATCAGTACATTCCAAGAAACGGAGCTCAGGAGCTCACCCAGGGAACAGCTCTGAAACCGTGATTTTTTTCCAAAGTGTCTATATGGGGCATCACTGGAGAAGCTTCAAAGCCACTGGCGTTTCCAGCAATTGTGATTTAATTGGTCTGGGACACGGCCTGGGCTGGGGACTTTTTTTTTTCTTTTTTTTTTTAAGATCTTACATTTAATGTGCAAACAAGTTTGGGAACAAGTTTGACCAAGGTGGCAGCGAGAGGCCAGGAGATGGGAAGGTCAGCACGTGTGGGCAATTGTTCCAGCAGATTCTGCCACGCCCTGCAGTCACATCTGCTACCTCACACTCAGGTGGGAAGACGAACTTCCCCTAAAAGTCTGCTCCCAACCTCTTTCCCAAGGACAGAACGTACCTTTTGGGATCCCCAGTCTTTGCTGCTCTTTGGAGAAACCGCTGAAAGTGGCTTTCAGTGCCTGAGACATCATCTCCTTGCTGCTTGGGGTTAGTAGTGGGACATCTGCACATTCCATATCTGTAAGAAAAAAAACACAGCACATGAAGAATTCACACTAAATAGGTGAAGGCTCATTCTGCAGTACTGTACAAATAGCACACCATTATATTGTACATCTAGATTAATATAGTGATATTTGCCCATTATATCTCCATTTTAAAGAAATAAAACTAAATGGGTGATTAACCACCCATAAAATAGAATAGGGCATGAATGGTACAGGCAAGCTGAAAAATCACTGACCTAACAGTTTCACAGGGCCAGGTAAAATGGGGAATGGGAGGCCCTTCTCAAAGTTTGCTAGGCCTCTTAAAAAAACCTGACTCTTATCTACACCGTCCTACACTCCTGATTAACAAAGTATGTTTATTCTTTCCATATAGCTCTACTAATTCTGCCACCATTTCTATTTATCCTTCATCATTCACAGGGAGGATGAATGTTCCCGCATCCTTCCAGTTACTATGAAAAGGAAATAATACTCATCCATTCAACAAATAATTATGTAGCATTTGCTATATGCAAGGATTTTCAGAGAAATCAATAAACAGACAGAAGTAAGCCCCCAACTCCTGGAGCTGAAGATCCGATTCTGGCAGGAGATACGGTCATTAAAAAACGATTTACACAATTAAATGTCCGAAACGTGACGAAGGGCTTCAGAGATGTAGAAGATAAAGTGTGAACGTATAACAGGAATTCCTGTTGGTCTGGAGAAATCAGAGAAGGCATCCCTTAGGCGAAGAGAAAGACTTTTGACTTGAGATCTAAAGGACATACAGAAACTTAAAGGAGAAAAATATTCTAGACTCATGGTCAGCAAACTGCGGCTCATGAGCCACATGTGGCTCTTTGGCCCCTTGAGTGTGGCTCTTCCACAAACTATTGTACCATGGCCTGGGCGAGTCTATTTTGAAGAAGTAGCATTAGAAGGAGTTTAAGTTTAAAAAAATGGGCTCTCCAAAAAAAATGTCAATCATTGTCCTATTGATATTTGGCTCATGAGTTTGCTAACCACTGTTCTAAACCAATGGGTTCTCAATGTGTGGTCCCCCAGACAAGCTGTATCTACATCAGCTGGAATGTGTTGGAAATGCCAATTCCCAGCCATTCTCCAGCCTTCCTCGAGGAGATGGGCCTGGCAGTCTGCATTTCTAACACAGAGTTCAAATGATCCTAATGACCGTTAGAGGACAGTGATCTTAGATAAAGGGACTGCATCAATGAAGGTCATGGTGAGGGGGAGGAGAGAAAACTTGGCCTGTTTTAGTCTCAAAAAGATCAGAAGCTGCAGCAGAGTGGCAGGGGCCAGCTGTTTAGGATGAGGTTAGAAAGGTAAGCCAGGAGTGTGTGAAGGACGTTATAGTTTTATCCCAAGTAGACTACAAAGTCATTGAGAGTTTTATGCATGACCACATTAAGAAGATCTGTATTTTATTTGTCAAGGAACTGCCATCCTGCTTTCCTCAAAGTGGCCACATGATTTCAATCTCCCAGCAAGAGCGCACAGGAGTTCTGAAGCTTGCCAAAACTTACTACATTCTGGGTGTGTTTTTATTGGGGGGGGATGGGGGGGGCAGGGAATAGTAGCCACCCTATTACACTGTAGTCTTTATTTGTATTTCCCTAATGATGAATGATGAATGATGCTGATTTATATTTTCCTAATGAGTAATGATGTTCCCTGATTTGTATTTCCCTCATGGTTAATGGATGATTATTAATATTTAATCATCACCCCATGTGCTCACTGTCCATTTTTGTATCTTCTTTAGAGAAATGTATTTCCAAACATTTTGTTCATTTCTACCTAGTGCTGTTTGAGGTTGTTTTGTTGCTGATGCGCACTGTTAGGAGCTTTCTATCGACCCAAGAGTTGAACACCTGTACTGGTGTGCCTTAGACCCTCTAGGCTGTGATGTGGCACCCACAGGGGATGGCAATGGATGTCCCACCACCTGCATATGTGTACTCTTGTGTTCACTGCAGCATTACTCACATGATATAAAATGTGGAAGCAACCTAAGTGTTCACCAACAGGCAAATAGATAAGCAACATATAATATATGCACACAATGCAATACTATTCATACAATACTGTACTGCTTCCTTCCTTAAAAAGGAAGGAAATTCTGACACACATAGCATGGATGGATCCTTCACATTATGTTAAGTGAAATAAACCAGTCACAAAAGACTAAGGAGATGAAGTACTTGGAAGAGTCAAATCCATAGAGACAGAAGGTAGACGGGTGGGTGCCAGGGCGTGGAGGGAGGAAGAGAACGGAGTTGCTATGGACTGGGGACAGTTTCCATTTTACAAGATGCCAAGAGCTCCCGGGATGGATGGTGGTTGTGGGTGCATAACACTCGGCATACCTGTCCACTTAAAAACGATGAAGATGGTAAAATTTGGTTATGTTTACTTCACCACATTTAGAAAATGGAAAATCTAAAGAAGACACCTTCGCTGCTCTGTGCAGGAGGTAACTATAAATGGATGTGGGTAGACTTGTTAAAAAGTTATTAGCTGTGGTGAGAGATGATGGTGGCTTTGACTGGGAAGACAGCACAGCAGATAGGGTGAGCAAACAAGTTTGAAGTGCATGTAGGAGGTGACAGCTGTAAAACTGATGTATGCAGGTAGGAAGGAAGAATGAGGTATCGAAGTCTGCAGACTCACAAACGTGAGGCCCTTTGCTGGACCCACAGACATCTTTATCTCTTCAATGTTCAATCCTTCTTTTATAAAAATATATATTTTATTGGTTTTTTACAGAGAGGAAGAGAGAGGGAGAGAGAGTGAGAAACATCGATGACAGAGAAACATCGATTAGCTGCCTCTTGCACAGTCCCTACTGAGGATGTGCCCACAACTGAGGTGCATGCCCTTGACCAGAATCGAACCTGGGACCTTTCAGTCCACAGGCCGACACTCTAGCCACTGAGCCAAACCGGTTAGGGCTCAATCCTTCTTGTACTTGCAGACCATGTCCACAGCCAGAACACACAATGTCTGAATCGACCTCAGGCACAATTTCCCCCAAAAAAAGTTAATAAGCAAAGAAATGACGGGAGAATTCCTCCTGGCCATCCTGTGACCTTCAGTGACACACTTCCTCAGCCTCTGTCTCCAGGGCATCCTAGGAAACTGGCTTACCGAAGGGCTGCATTATGGGCATGGCCACAGTAGATGTTCCTCAACTAGCCATCTCTAAATCCTGGCGAGCCAAACATTCCCATGGACATACGCAATGTGTTCTTGGCTGAATGGATTGGAAACATACGAGGGAAACGGTTACAATGGGTGACCTTTGGGGGAAAGAAAAGGAGGCGATATGTTGCTTTTGAACATGGAAGTGACTGGAACTACATTACAAGGAGAAGGGCAGCCAGCACCTTCCCTCTGTCTGCTCCGGGCTTTGAGCTTTGAGCGAGGCTGTCAGGACGCAGCTCAGAGTCCATCCACCCCGGAGGCCCAGGAGGCTTCACTCGACTGCTCCCAGGCCCTCCAGGGAGTGGGAATCTGAAGATCTGGGGAGTGGAGAGTTTGGGTTGCCCTGGGAAGTGCCCCAAAAAAATGTAGTGGAAAAATCAACATGCCTGCAGGAAGGTTGACAAAATGATGGAAAATCCCAGATTGTTGGGGATGGTGGGGGGAAGAGAGGGGGAGGGGAAACAGTGTTGATTATGCAACTTCAAACAATGGTGTCATCATCAAATGAGTCACCAAGACACACATCAGGGCTCCCTTTCACACACCCAAGAACAGCTAAGTGGCAGGTCCAGAAATGTCTCTGTTTAGAGGGAAAGTTGGTTTTGCTTTAGAAAAGAAGACTATTTAACTGGAGAGCATTTCATCTGAGAGAAGGGTCAAGGGCAGCCTCCCTGACTCCTAGCACGGGGGCAAGACATGCAAGTCCATCAAGGAACATCCAGCGAACACCGTGTCTTCTGAACGTGAATCAACTTTCCTTCCCTTCACCCCCATCCAACACTTCGACTTGCGCTGGGTGTTTGTTCCCTCCTTTAGATTTATGACGCGATGACAAGGACTTCACTGATGGCGGAAATTGGCCAGGACAACGCATGTGGAAAATCCAGGCCAGGCCAAACGGCCAAGCCAGGCTTCAGTTGCAAACTGGGCCTGAAGGATGAGGCTGGCCAAAGAGGCCCAGGCACCTCCTCACAGGGCAGCGTGGGCAGCCTGATGCCAGGGCCAGGGGAAGGCCAAGGACAGCAGAAAGTCTGAGAAAGCGGTTTCCTGGAGCCTGCTCCCTGTAACACCGCCTACGCCGGCAGTAGGCTCTGGCCGGGACTGCTGGGCTGACAACTCTCCTTGTAGGTTTCTGCTTCCTGTCGGGGAGCCAGCCTCCCCAGCTACCCCTTGTTCTCTGTGAGGGAAGCAGCTGGCATGACTCCTGCCTGTCCACCTCAATGCCATCTGTGAAGACTGGCCCACATGTGGGCTGCCACAGCTGCACGGTGCCCACGGCTCTATCCCAGGGCGAGGCTCAAAGCACTGAATCTACTGGAAAAGTGCTCCCAGCCGAGTGATGGGAGCCGCCCCTGCACACCTGGGACACCTGCCTTTGGACTTGACCTCAGGAGAGGGCATATCATGGCCCTGGGACCCAAAGAACTCATATAGGAGAGTCAGAGCTTTATCCACCATTTCTAATATAAAAGGTGGAATTTTGGTTTAAAAAAAAAATGGTTTAAAAAAAATTGAACATCCTCTATAAAGGATTGTTTTTTTTTCAGTAGCAGCGACACTGCTTTTAAGTGATAGTGAATAATCACATTCAACAGTGGATACTGGTATAAATATTAAACTCTCCTCATGCAAAATGTGAACGCAAAAATCCCCTCTAAGTTGCTAGTTTCTGACCTTGGCGGTTCCATCAGTTACAGTGAATAACAGTAATGAAGTCATCACTCCGCAGGTGCAGGATCTGACCCAGGGGAGCCCAAGCTGGCATCTCTATGATTGTCACCACACTGGCTCTCAGGTCCGA